GAGCCAGCTGGGAATGCTGCTGTGCAGAGCCAGCTGGGAATGCTGGTGTGCAGAGCCAGCTGGGAATGCTGCTGTGCAGAGCCAGCCCGGGCACCGTGCCCTCCCTCGGGGTCCTGACCCAGCCCGGTGTCCCTGCAGACCATGGTGCTGGCGAGCGGTGGCCAGGACGGGGCCATCTGCCTGTGGGACGTGCTGACGGGCAGCCGGGTGGGCCACATGTTCGCCCACCGCGGGGACGTCACGTCCCTGACCTGCACCACGTCCTGCGTCATCAGCAGCGGCCTGGACGACGTCATCAGCATCTGGGACCGCAGCTCGGGCACCAAGCTCTACTCCATCCAGCAGGTGGGCCTGGGGGCACGGGGAGGGACAGCGGGGAACTGGTGGGGCTGGAAAAGCCCTCTGAGACCGTCGAGTCCAACTGCCCCCCAGCACTGCCAAGGCCACCACTGACCATGTCCCCAAGTGCCACATCCACAGGGCTTTGAAATCCCTCCGGGGATGGGGACTCCACCCCTGCCCTGGGCAGCTGTGCCAGGGCTGGACAGCCCTTCCCATGAGGAATTTTCCCAATACCAACCAAAACGTTCCCTGACACAACCTGAGGGCATTTCCTCTTGTCCTGTCCCTTGTTCCCCAGGAGCAGAGCTCTGCCCCATTCCCAGCCCCCAGGGCTCAGCTCTCCCCATCCCAGAAGCAGGGCTCGGCTCTCCCCCATGCCAGGCCCGTGGCTCAGCTCCCTGCCCGTCCCCCACAGGAGCTGGGCTGCGGTGCCAGCCTGGGCGTCATCTCGGACAGCGTGCTGGTGACGGGGGGCCAGGGCTGCGTGTCCTTCTGGGACATCGGCTACGGGGACCTGCTGCAGACCGTGTACCTGGGCAAGAGCAACGAGGCGCAGCCGGCGCGGCAGATCCTGGTGCTGGACAACGCCGCCATCGTCTGCAACTTCGGCAGCGAGCTCAGCCTGCTCTACGTGCCCTCCGTGCTCGAGAAGTTGGACTGAGCAGGAGCGGGGCAGGCGGGACCGAGGGGGCTCGGCCCGAGGGGACGGGACGGCGGCTCCATCGCTCCGGCCGTGCCTCCGGCACCTCCCCACCTCAGACACCCGGCAGGGCCCCGCCTTCCTGCTCCTCTCCCTGTCCCAGCACCTTCCCTGCCGTCCCGGGGGCTCCCAGGGATGGTACAGAGGGACACAGGGTAGGGCAGGGGGGAACAGTGGTGGTGGCTCCCAGCGCTGACCTGCCAGGGCACGGAACAGCCCCCGGAGAGCCCCGGGGGCAGCGGGGAGAGGGCCGGGACCGACCCCCCGGGCGTGGCTCAGCCCCCACGTGCCTTAGGGCGTGGCAGGGCCCCCAGCCCCACCCCGGCCACAGCAGCCCTGCCCTATTTATTTATATGCTGTAAATAGTTATTATTTATTGGGGCAGGGGGGCACGGGGGGTCAGCACCCCCCTCACCCTGGCACAGCCGCCCTGCCTGGTCCCTCCTGCACCCCGTTTGCAGCAATAGCACCTTCCTCCTCCTCCTCCTCCTGCTGCGGGGCCAGAGGAGGCTTTTCTCAGGTTGGGAGGGGCGGGAGCCTCGCCCACGCTCCTGCAGGTGCTGGGGAGGGACCCCCGGGCGGGGNCCATGACACATTCCCACCTGTCCCTGTGCATTTCTGCCCCCGGGTTTCTCCAGCCCTGGGTTGCTCTGCTGGAGCCTCAGTCCTGGCAGTGTCTGACCCTGCAGACACTGCAGCTGAATTATGGTTTCTGGCTTCCTGCTCCCTCTTAAAGAAGAGGAAAAGTTGGCAAACTCCAGAGCTGTCGGGTTTAGTCCTGTCAGAGCGAGTTTTCCTTTCCAACCCCACCAGGGCAGGGAAAGGACCGGGAGCACTTTGTTCTCTTTCCAGTTAATCAGCCCCTTGTAATAATTAAATAGGAATTGATTGTAAGGGACATTAATTGAGATTTAAAAGAGAAACATTGTAATTAACTCCAAATAATGGAGGCAATAAATGTGGAAACTTATTAATACCATTATTAATACAATAACCTTGTGAGGATCCTTTGGAGCTTTTCCTTCCCGCAGCCCACAAAGGCCTCACAGGGGCCACCATAACTTAGAGATCAATTAACACACTTTGAGCAAATAACCCACATTTTCAATTAGTGGACTCTTACTTGCTGGCTCTGCCAGTGGCTCTGCCTTTTTTCTCCTTGGCATCCTGTATCCATCAGCTCCTTGAGCCTCCTGCCTCCCCACAGCTCCTCTGATCTCTGTAATTTGGGAGAGTGTTCAGCTGCTCCTTCATCAGTGAGAGCATCAGGTTGGGAACAGAGAGAAAAGAGTTTGATTATCAGACCAAAGAATCACCTTCAAACAGATAATTATGTTACATATTATATTAATCGTAAAATAATAAAATTATTTTTAAAACTAGCAATAAAAAGACGAGGGAGAGGCTTTTGGAAAGGCCAAAATTTTGTGTTTTGCCACATCCTCTTCGTTATTTCTCCTGACCAAGCTCAATGTCAGGCAGAAAAAGCCTCAGGGAGCTTCTGAGCTTCTCCATCTCGGACAGTCTGCTGGATTTTTTGTTCTTCTTCTTCTTCTTGTTCAGTCATTTTTCTCCTCAGAAATGCAGAAGTCCTGGCAGAGTTGCCTCATTCCAACAGGCTCCCGCCAAACTGTGCTGAGGCAACGCTTGCCCTCGCAGCCAAAATTTATAGGCAGGCCCACGATCCCAAAGAGTTGTTGCTTCCTGCTCTCTTTTCCATGTTCACACCTATTCCCACATTTTCCTGCTCTTTGGCCACGTTCAAACAGAGAATTTCTTGTCCACAGACCATAAATTATCCAAGGCCTGTTCCAAGGTTTTTCTGTTCCTTCCCCAGTCCCCCAGGGGCAGGAGAGGGGAAGGGAAGATCCTTGCAGGAGCAAACCCACGCCCGGAGCACTCGGAGGCTTCTTTGGGATGCAAAAGCCCCCATTTTTTTTAACTTTTAATCAATTTTTTTCCTTTTAATCAATCCTGCCATGAAAGCCCCTCTTTGAAATAAAATGGGACGTGTGGCCCTTTGGGGTTAATTATCAGCTGCTCCTCTGGATGTTACCTCTGAGGGGCTGGAAAAAGGAAAAATGCTAAGTCAAGGCAGTGTGGGAACAGTCAGAAATATCCACATTTACCTCGCAGAGAGAGGGGAGGTTTTGAAGTCTTGTTAAGGATTCCCAGCCATCCTGGCCCGCTGCTTTCATCAGAGGCAGAGGCAATGACTGCTGATCAGAAAAATGGGTTTCCCAGCCCAAAATAGTTCCAAGGATTTCCAAGATACTCTTATTTTGGAGGGAGAAAAAAAGCTCAAATCTACATGTTTTTATGCCATGATTCCCCAGGATCCCAGTGTTGGCACTGATGGGGAACAGAGGAGCATTCCCTAAGTATATAACTTTAATTTCATAATGGAAATGAATATTGTATTAAAAT